GGCTGAAGGCAGCCTGGGCACGGAGGACCCGGATCTCCCCGGGTCAGGCCGGCCGAGGCTCGGCCTGGACGGGGTCTCGGAGCCCGGCGCCGCCCACTCCCGCAGCTCCCGCGCCCACCTACCCAGCAGCTCGGCCCACGTTCGCCTGCCGCCCCCGGACCCCGGGTCTGAGGGGGCCTCCAGCGAGCGGGAGTCGGACATGGCATATACGAGGCACCCCAGCAGCGGCTCCCGGCATCCAGCCCGCGCTGCCTCCCCATTGGCTGCGGCCCGCGCTGCCTCCCCATTGGCTGAGGCCGGACGCGCACGCCCATTGGCTGCCGGCTGCCCGGCCACACCCCTCTGAGGCGGACGCCTCACGCCGCGGCCATCTCGGTGGAGGCGTGCGGCAGCCAACTTGCCGGCGGCTAGAGCGAGGGAAGCGCCTGACGCGTGGGCGAGGCGGAGCTGGGCTTGGCGTCGACGATTAGCGGAACGGATTGAAAGCGGCATCACGTTGGCGAAAACCGTGGCAGCCCTAAGGCATCATTCCGGCCAACAGTGACGCCTAGCTGGTCACGAAGAAACAACGTGACAAACCCAGATCCAGAGAGACGCTGAGAACCGGCCGGTGTAAACCTGCAACCGGGAAACGAGCCTGTGGGCGCTGACCGGTAAGACCCGCAGTAACGGAAACGGTCTGTGTCCATTCTGCGCAGCACGGCAGCTCGAGAAGCGGCCAGTGAGGCCGAGGAGCCCAGTGCTTACTTCCGCGTGCCTTTCCGGTTTCAGCTGCCACCGTGCTGCGCAGCGCAGCGCTGTCATCTGGCCCCGCGCACACCGGTGTCGGAACCAAGCGAGGACGTGGGCCTCTACTGTCCCCTCCAGTGGGCGTGCCTGTCCCTCAATATTACATTTTTCCTAGTTAACTCGTTTTCCTGGCTGCGTACTATTCCACTGCCCGAATACAGGATTCGAGTTTACTAGTTTTATATTCAGCAGTACATATTTTCTGTGTACTGCATTATGGTGTTTTGACATGGGGAGAGACTGCCCGGCTCGGGGCCAGCCATTTCTCAGACAGCCGCGGGCCCGGGGTCGCACGCCTGCCGCTTGCAGACTCGCCCGCCCAGCTGCCTGTCCCCGGAACCCCCATCAGGGCGAGGACCTACACCTGCCCCTCACTCCCGCCTTCTGCCTCCTGGCCACCTGGTGCTTCCCCATGTGAGTGTAATAAGCTTTTCCCCCCCTGAGCAGCTTCTGTGTCTCCTCTTGCGACCATCTCACAGAAGTACACACAACTTTTTTTTTTTTTTAAGTGAGGACCGATTAGGGTGAGAAGGGTTGCTGCCGCCGAGCTGGCTCACGCACCGCCTGGGGCTGAGGAGGGTGGCGGTGCGAGGACCGCAGGCTGCTGCTGGCTCCTCAGTTGAGAATAAATTGCAGGAGAACAATCCAATAATGACACGGGCTTTCTTATTACCTCACATTGAAAGAGCGCTACTAGATTTGCTTTGACAGGTTTTACCATGTGTCACATTGACACATACATGAAAAGACAAACATAGGTGACAACTGTGTGGAAGGTATGCTGAGCCCTCTGTTCTTCTCAAGAGGCGAGTTCGAAAAACCACCCAGTTTTCCTTCCTATGTGAGTCTCCCTCCCGTGAGTCCTTCACTTTCACACGGAACTCTTCACCTCTGGCCGCCCAATGTGTGGAGGTTTTCCCCCATAACAAGCAATTCCCTCTGACATCAGCTGGGTGTTCTACCATTTAACTCATTTCTGACACTGTCTACCTGAGAGAGCGTCAGATCCCACAGGTTGAGGGCTCAGTCCCACAGGACAGCCCCCCACTTCAGATGCCAATTCTAAGTCAGAGGTCCACAGATAACCCACAACTTCTGCCTCATTTGGCAACAAATTGGGGATTCCCATGACCCCTCCTCAATTTCAATGAATTTGTCAGAGTGGCTCACAGGACTCAGGGGACACGTCTACCAGGTGTTTTTAAGGATATGATACAGGATACAAATGGCCAGGCAGATGGAGAGAGAGAGAGGTGAGGTCTGGGGGGGTCCCGAGTGCAGGAGCTTCTGTCCCCATCGAGCTGGAGTGCATCACCCTCGCAGCATGGATGCGTTCACTGATGTGGAAGCTCTCCGAACCCTGTACATCTGTGATTTGTATGGAGGCAAGGTTGGTAATTAACTCCATTTCCAGCCTGTCCCCTTCCTGAGGATGGGGGTGGGGCTGAGAACTCTCAACTTCTAATCCTGGCTTGGTCTTTGGGGTGACAGCCCCCATTCAGAAGCCATTCGGAGCCACCCAGAGTCTCCCCACTGGAATAAGAGATGCTCGCAGTGCTCTTGTCACTTAGGAACTGACAAGGGTTTCAGGAGCCCCGAGCCAGGAATTGGGGGCAGAGACTAGTAGGCATTTCTATAAACAGCAGTTCTCAACCTGTGGGTCGCGACCCCTTTGGGGGTCAAACGACCCTTTCACAGGGGTTGCCTAAGACCATCAGAAAACAAAAAGATATTTACATTATGATTCATAACAGTAGCAAAATTACAGTTATAGAGTAGCAATGAAAATAATTTTATGGTTGGGGCTCACCACAAGATGAGGAGCTGTATTAAGGGGTCGTGGCATTAAGAAGGTTGAGAACCACTGCTATATAGTATCTCACACAGGGTTCAAAGAGTCGAATCACCTTTAACTCAGTCTCAACGTCCAGGTTTTCACACAACACCATCCTGTTGGCCATGAAGACCTTTGTGATGCAGGATAATCAGAGAGCTCCCTCTCCACTGTCGACTCCTGAATTGACTTCCAGGCCGCTGGAAATGGCAAGTTTTCAAGTTTGTGCACAGGCCATGGTCACCCCGCACCACTGCTGCTGGGCCCAGCCCAGACCCGGAGCTGCTAAGCCTGGGTGGGTGCTACCGGGTGGGAAGTGGTTGTGCTGCACACCGTTCAGCTTGTGTGTGCCGCAGACATGGCCACAGCCCTCCTCCATCAAGAGCTGGCCTGCTTTTCCATCCTTCCAGTTTGGGCTTGCCGATGAGATGCACGTATCCTGATGCAAACAGAAGCTTGAAAAGACCTTGTGTTTCAGAGCTTGGAGCTCTGAGCCCCCCAAGGAACACACCTGAGTCGGCCTGCCCGAAGACCGGGCCATGCACAGGAGAGGCAGGGCACCCAGCCAAACATCCCAGGCCCTCACCTGCAGCCTGCCCACCTCCAGAACCTGGGAATGAGGCCATCATAGGCCTTCCAGCTGCCAGCAACCCAGCAGTGATGCAAACGTGGGAGTGAGGCTGGCTGAGACCAGAGTAACTGCCACAGACCCACAGAATCATGTGCTAAGCAAACGGTTGTTGCTTTAACCCACTAAGTCTTGGGATGGTCTGTGACTGAGCAACAGAAAACTGATACAGCCCTTTACACAGGGCTCATTATAGGAGTGGGCCATTAGTATCCGTCCACGTTACAGACGAGGAAATGCACTCATGGGTTAAGGAATTAGCTCAAGGGCACACAGCTAATAAACAGCAAAGACAGGAAAAGAACCCAGGTCTGTCTGACCCCCAAACCCAAGCTCTTAAACATTATACCCCTATGGAACCACAGACCTGTACACGTGGGGCTGAAGCCCTGTAATGGACAGGAGAGAGAGCCTCCTGGGTTTCTACTCTAGATAATTCTCCTCCACGCCTCTGCACTCCCCAGAGCACTGGGAGAAACGTAAGCCTGGGAAGGGTGCCCAGCAAGCCAGCTCCCCTTCCTCCTGCTTCTGCCTCAGCTGCTCCACACCTGGGTCTCTGCCTCATCCTGACACTGCTGCCCAGCATGTGGGAAGGCCAGCTTTATTCAAGGCAAGCTCTATATGGAAGTGGCCAAGAACAAGGAAAGAACGTAAAGATGAATTTCTCCTTGATGTTGCTCAAGGTGCCAGGAATACTGGGGACGAAAGTGAGTCTCTCGCAGACTCTGATCCCCATGCCCAGTCCAGGTGGGGAGTGAGTGAGAGCCTTTTGTATCTCGAAAGCCCATGAAAGCAAGTGCCTCAGGGATGCCCTTCAAAGCCCTGGCAACAGGAGAGGCTGCTGGGCACTCCAGTTCCACCCGCCCTGCAGCAGCTCAGAGCACTAAGGGGGCTGACCTCAGGGATGGCCGCCCCATCTCTGGACAGTGCCCCTTCTCTGCCTCAAAGCAAAGCCCCGCTTGTGGGCCATGCTGACTGTTCAGGTACCATTTAGCACGGCACTCTTCTTTGTGACTGAGACACAGAACAGGGCCTGTGTGCCAGGTGTGGGAGGGAACACAAATTCGGAACCCATGAGGTCCCCACAAGGATAGAACCTCTGCACTCTGCTGGCTGAGTGTGACCGTGGGAATCACTGTGCCTAGGAAACCGCAGCGAACAGGCCATAAAAAGGCTGCAGCTCTCAAGGCGGACCCTTAGGGCAGCTGGGCAGTGACGGCTGGGTCCTGTTAGGAGTCTGGTTCCAGCAGCTCTGCCCCTTCCCACCTCCCAGCCCAGCCATGCATCTGACAGAGACCCCAGACGACACCAACAAATGCCTGTGTCAAGCACCTTTTAAATTATTTGAGGGGGAGTTGATTAAGCTTTGGGGAACACCGTTTCCACTTGGCCATGAGTCACTCTCAGAAAAGCTTTTCTCTCTTAATTTCCCCAAGCTGCTGACTGGGATGGAGCCCTGATTATTATAATTATTTTAATTAGCAATAAATTCAGACTTACGTTGTCCTAAGGCTTGCCAAATTCCATAGCGTAGACACAATAGGTCCATATTCTTAGAAACCACTAAACAAATTTCTCTAACCAAGTGAAGTTACAAAAGTCACCAGCACGCAGAAGCAGCTTGCAGGGGGCTGTGCTCAGACACATACGGACAGTACACAGACCCTGAGGCGCCAGGCCTGACACCGCTGTGCCCTGCCTGGCTCATGCTCACACCAAGGGCGACACCATCTGCGACTGTGCAGGGCGGGCGTGTGTGGTGTCAATGCCTGCCTTAGTTTCCTGTGACAACATCAATACTCCCCATCCCCACCCTCGGGTTCTTGTGTTCCAGGAAGAGGTGGGTGGCCAAAGGCGCTTTGTGCCGGTGTGACCTCATCAGGAAGTGAAGGAATTAGAGTTGGAGGAGTAGAGTTCACGAGACCCTCTCCTGTAAGCACCCAGACAGCTCAGGAAGGAAAAGCAGCCAAAGAAAACCTTGGAGCCTCAGTT